CAAATCTCAAGAACATAGCATTGGAAGATGCTGTTTTCCTATATAATATCCCATGGAAGCAGATACACTAAGACAGCCCTAGCAGTTGCTTCCATGACCAAGGCAGTCTCTGTTGTCTCTAGTGGTTCGTAGGTATAATTTGATTACACTAGACCTATATAGGTTGGCCATAATTGTGAGAGGATTATAGCACAGACCCTGGAGCCAGACCGCCTGGCTGGGTTGGACTCCAGGCTCTTCGAATTACAGTTGACTCTTGAATAACACAGGTCTGAACTGCACAGGTCCACTTGTTTGTGGATTTTTTTTTTCAATAAATACAGTACAGTACTGTAAATGTATTTTCCTTATGATTTTCTTAGCAACATTTTCTTTTCTCTCACCTACTTTATTGTAAGAATACAGTATATAATAAACATAACATGCAGAATATGTGTGAATTGACTCTTTATGTTATCGGTAAGGCTTCCAGTGAGCAGTAGGTTATTACTACTTACATTTTGGAGGACTCAAAAGTTATTCATGGATTTCCCTGCCACTAATATAACATTGCGTGTCAACTACACTCAAATTAGAAAGAACTTATACAACTCAACACCCAAAAAACAATCCAATTAAAAATGGGCAGAAGACTGGGGCGCCTGGGTGGCGCTGTCGGTTAAGCATCCGACTTCAGCCAGGTCACGATCTCGCGGTCCGGGAGTTCGAGCCCCGCGTCAGGCTCTGGGCTGATGGCTCAGAGCCTAGAGCCTGTTTCCGATTCTGTGTCTCCCTCTCTCTCTGCCCCTCCCCCGTTCATGCTCTGTCTCTCTCTGTCCCAAAAATAAATAAAAAACGTTGAAAAAAAATTAAAAAAAAAATGGGCAGAAGAGGGGCGCCTGGGTGGCTCAGTCAGTAGGCGTCCGACTTCAGCTCAAGTCATGATCGTGCTATTCGTGAGTTCAAGCCCTGGGTCGGGCTCTGTGCCGACAGCTCAGAGCCTGGAGCCTGCTTTGGATTCTGTGTCTTCCTCACTCTCTCTGTCCCTGTCCCTCCTCCACTCACACTTTTCTCTCTCTCTCTCTCTCAAAAATAAGTAAACATTTTTAAAAAGTTTTAATGGGCAGAATAAATGAACATTTTCCAAAGAAGACATACAGATGGCTGATAGACACATGAAAAGATGCTCAACATCGCTCATCATCAGGGAACTACAAATCAAAACTACGATGAGATACCATGTCACAACTGTCAGAATGGCTAAAATCAAAAACACAAGAAACAGGCGTTGGTGAAGAGGTGGAGAAAAAAGGAACCCTCATGCACTGTTGAAGGAAATGCAAACTGGTGCAGCCACTGTGGAAAACAGTTATGGAGCTTCTTCAAAAATTTAAAAATAGAACTACCCTGCAATCTAGTAATCGCACGTCTGGCTATTTACCCCAAGAATACCAAAACACTAATTCAAAAGGGTATGTTCGCCCCTATGTTTATTGCAGTATTATTTATAGTAGCCAAATAGCAAAATAATGGAAGCAGCCCAAGGGTCCATCCATAGATGAACGGATAAAGAAGATGTGGTATACACACACACTGGAATACACCATGGAATATTATTCAGCCATAAAAAAGAATGGAATCTTCCCATTTACAATGACATGGATGGAGCTAGAGAGTATAATGCTAAGTGAAATAAGTCAGACAAAGGCAAATACCACATGATTTCACTCATACGTAGAACTTAAGAAACAAGACAAACAAAGGAAGAAGAAAGAGAGGCAAACCAAGAAATAGACTCTTAACTGTAGAGAACAAACTGGTGGTTACCAGAGGGGAGGTGGGTGGGCAAATAGGTGAAACAGGTGATAGGGATTAAGGAATCCACTTGTGATGAGCACTGGGAGATGTATGAAATTGTTGAGTCACTATATTATACATCTGAAGCCAATTTAACACTGTAGGTTAACTTCACCAAATTAAAATTCAAACCCTAATAATTTTTTTTAATTTAAAAAAAAATATCATTCATCGGTGAGGGGGGTGGTTGGTACCCCTAACCCCCATATTGTTCAAGGGTCTGGACTAGTTCTGTGAGTTGGGCTAAATATCACTTCTCCATGCCTCAGTTTACTATCCCACGTAGTACCTACCTCATGGGGTCGTTGTGAAGATTAAGTGAACTAATCTACTTTAGCCTCTAAGAAGTGTCTGGTCCATGATATGTGCTAATGGCTATTAGGTATTGTGGCTTTTGGTTATCTTTGTTGCTATTAAGTTTCTCAGCATTGGCTCCTTCTTTGAGAATGAAGATACTGTATATGGAGTGGAAGAGAATTGGGACGTAAGAACATGTGTCTTACCAAGTGATAAGAGAAATAAGGAAGCTTTGAAATTAGAGAAATGTTACTGCCAACATAAATGAAAAGAAATGCTTAGTTTAATGGAAGGGAAAGGGAGAAGAAATATTTTTTTATTGCAGCAAATCAAAACACTGTTGGATGCTTGTTAAGAGGAAATGGAGGCCATATGGAGAAAATAATTCCATTCCACAGGGGTGGAGTGGATTTTAAGGACAACTGAAGAGCCCAGGCATGAATTATGTAGGCCTTTGGCTATATAATGTCATTGATGAACAAAGCAAACAGCAGAGGGCATAGTATAGTTAATGAGAGGTGGAAAGAATCCTAAGGCTACAATGACCAGTTCTTATCATATGGTTTTCCTTATTAGAGAAATACACTGATAACATTATTTTGGTTCTTTCCGATCATTTGCATGCTGTAGGACGTTAATATTCTAAATCCTTTTATTTAATCTCTATATTCTGATATTCATTGTCTTTGCATGAACTTTTTTCTTGTAACCTTTACTGGTGGTGCTGCCTTTTTGCTAATCAAGTTGTTAATTAACTAAATTAGCTCAGTTTTAAAATTTATATTAGAAACGGGGCGCCTGGGTGGCGCAGTCGGTTAAGCGTCCGACTTCAGCCAGGTCACGATCTCGCGGTCCGGGAGTTCGAGCCCCACATCGGGCTCTGGGCTGATGGCTCAGAGCCTGGAGCCTGTTTCCGATTCTGTGTCTCCCTCTCTCTCTGCTCCTCCCCCGTTCATGCTCTGTCTCTCTCTGTCCCAAAAATAAATAAACGTTGAAAAAAAAAATTAAAAAAAAAAAATTTATATTAGAAATATTTTAAAAATCAAAATATTTTCCCTGGGCCTCGTTGCCTAATAATTAAATAAAGAAGGGGTTGGAGCATGTATTGGAGGTATTTTATTTTATTTATTTATTAATTTTTTTTTTAATTTATTTTTGAGACAGAGACTAGAGCATGAGCACGGGAGGGGCAGAGAGAGAGGGAGACACAGCATCCAAAGCAGGCTCCAGGCTCTGAGCTGTCAGCACAGAGCCTGACGTGGGGCTCGAACTCATGGACCGTGAGATCATGACCTGAGCTGAAGTCGGACGCTTAACGGGCTGAGCCACCCAGGCGCCCCTATTATTATTATTATTGTTATTATTATTTTAAAATGGAACAATTCTGGGACACCTGGGTGGCCTAGTCAGTTAAGCGTCTGACTCTTGACTTTGACTCAGGTCATGATCTCGCAGTGCTGAGATCAAGCCCCACGTGGGGCTCTGCACTGGGCACGGAGCCTGCTTTGGATTCTCTCTCTCCCTCTCCCTCTGCCCCCCCCCCCCCCCGCTCGCTCTGTCTCTCTCTCAACAAAATAATAATAATAATAATAATAATAATAATAGTAATAATTTTAAAAAGAAGTAAGTCTTATGAAATATTTATTATTAAAGAAATGCATTTTAAATTTAATTTATTAAAGAAATTAATTCATTAATTGCTATGTTTGAAATAATTTGTTGAATACTTATCAAAAGGATCTGCATCAACTGTTTGGAACCAGGCAGGGATAAAGGAAAAGAGCCAGAAAACAAAACTTTACAAACTTTTTTTATCTGAAAGACTTACTTTCCATCATGAGTTGAAAAACATACATAAAAAAAAAATATTCTTCCTTTAGCAATGTTAAGAGAAGTCCAGACATGAAAAGTCATCCAGTAAGAATCTGCAGGGCCTCAAAAGGATAAATAGGATTATATTGAGTTTTAATAAGTGTTCAGAAAAATTAAAAAGCCAGCCTACAGGTAGTATGTTCTATTGCTTCCTTTCCACAATTTTAGTGCCACAATTTTATTTTGGATTCTGCAGCTAAGTTTTTGGCCTGACTAAGGATGTATGCATTTAACCTTTTAACTTTAATTTATCTGGATGAATTACTTTAGGAATTTACGATCAATGCTGGTTTGGGGTTCTTATTGTGAAGAAAATAAGGCATTATTTTAGATTTCATGTTCACAGTGACCGAGATGCCTTCAAAGAAAAAAAAACAACAAAGTTTCTATAACAAGAGCCTAAGCGAATATCTATCCGTGTACCTTCCCAAAAAATGAACTGAGCCTTGTGTCTTAAAAACAGCATTTTAAAAATAAGTCATAAGGGGGATGAAGAGCTGAACTGTGGTAGATGATATTCCAGTTATCTCCTCAATCAATTTTGTAGAATGCTTTGGAAGCAGAATAACAAGGAATATGAAATCATTTTTCAAGATGCTATATATGTGCACACTCTTTAGTTCTATTTCTGTATTCATTGGCACAGGCAATTTATGCAATGTACTTGTGATACTCCAAGAACAAAGACCAATTTCCCTGAAGGTTATGAGCACCTCTTGAATTTTACAAATGCAAAAAATATACATATATATATTTTCATGTTGTTACATTTAGATAACGAAGTCTGCTAGATTTACAGAGTCTCCATGTTGAGTCTCAGAAATTATGCCCACGGTGGATATTTTTTATTCCGAGATTCAGAAGGTAAATGCAGGCAGCTCTTAACAAGCATCGACAAGTAGTTAAGTGTCAGTGAGTGTTGTGAACGATGGAGGGCCGAAAGGCCTTAGACATCAGCTTCTGAACACGAGTATCTTTTCTTGTTGGGAAAACAGATATCCGATTGATCTGCTGCTGATCCTCCATCTAGGTTTCAGGATCCGACCGGACCTCTGTGTGACTGAAATGAACCACCTGTTACCTTCAAATACAAGTGAGGAAAAGGTCGAGTGAAGACAATAGATCAATCCCTTTGGCAACAGGTAGCCATTTTGCTGGTTTTCCTTTACTTTGGGGAGATGTGCAGGGCTGAGAGTAGAAATGCCTCCCATCCGGACCCTCCTCCCGTGATGCCCCCCCATGACCATGGCAGGCATTTGTGCACACGATATGCCACCAGAGGGGATCCCAGGGTTCGGAAGTAGCCCTGTATCTTTGCTCATCTGATTGCTCCTTGAGCGTTGACTATCATGGTTTCGATTGTTTTCTAATTGCACGAACGGTGCTTTGCCAGAGAACTATTTCCCTCACGGCAGATAGCGTCCGTGCTCAAACCCTTCGTAGCTACCTGACAAATAATCCACAGTGGAAATCCATGGACTGCAAGAGGCACAGGCACTTTGCAGCTTTTCTCCCCGTTCATGAAACCTAATCTGAATGAACAGGGCACAAAGATCGGCTGATTACTCTCTCCCCGCACTCCCCCTGAAATTTCCCCATCTTTGGGGGCACAGTCCTGCTTAAACTTGTTTCTTCACATTCCACAAACAGGGCAGAGTTCTGAATGTGTATACACTCTACCCTTACCCAGTTTCAAGTTATGTAATAGCTGTAAATGCCCTCTTGTGCCTGGGGATAGCACAAAACTAAGCCTTAATAGAATGTCTACCGAAAGAAAAACCTTTGGGCACCCTCTTAGTATTTAGACACAGACAGAAAAGCCCGGGTCCCCATTCTAAGATCACAGAAGAAAATCAAGACAGGAAAGGGTCTGAGTTCACAAACCCTGGTCTCTTAGACCTGAATGTGGAAAATTAGGGCCAGTTTGAAAGTTTTAATTTGCTTTATTAGCTTAAGAGTTGGACTGTTGGGGCACCTGGGTTGCTCAGTAGGTTGAGCGTCGGACTCTTGGTTTCAGCTCAGGTCATGATCTCACGGTTCATGACTTCGAGCCCCACCTCAGGCTCCACCCTGACAGTGCAGAGGTTGCTTGGGATTCTCTCTCTCCTTCTCCCTCTGCCCCTCCCCTGCTCGTGCTCTCTGTCTCTCTCAAAATAAAAAAAAAAAAAATAAACTTTAAAAATAATGTTAAAAAAGAGTTGGGATGTTCACTCTCAGGTTTTAGCTGCTCAGAAACCAACATGCTTGTTCAGATATATCCACGTGCAGGAGTCGCACGACCCCTCCTCATTCAATGACTAAACTATAAGAGCCTAAATTGGGACTACAAGAATGCTTTTAGGTTGGCCAGTAGGAGGCTTAGTTATAATTTCAGAAATGGTCCACACAGATGAAAAGGGGGAGAGGATGGCTACAGAGATCTGGCAGTCAACCCCTTGAGTTCTGTTACTCATTTTAATAGTGTTTTCATTCATTCATTCATTCATTCATTCATTCATTCATTCTGCCTTGGAGAAAAGATGGACTGGGGAGAAGAATGAGTTCAGATATCTCACTTGACAATCTTGCTCTTTCTGCGAGGTTCGCCTGTCTGTTGTGAATAGGAAGAACTTTGCTTATAAAATCACATACAGCTAGCCGTCTTTAGACGGGTAGCGATCGTGGCCATCATCTTCTTATAATTGCATTCGAACTTCCTTTTCTCATATATGCTTTGGAAATCCAAGAAGCCATCAGCACCAGTGACGTAGCTGAACCAAGCCTTTGGTCAAAGAAAGGATAGCCAAGGAGTGGGTGGGTGAGGGTCCCAGTAAAACCCTGGTCGTAAGGCTAATTAGGCCTGTAGACGCTTTTAATTGTGTAATTTCTAAATATTCCTCTGTGCTCAGAGGTATATGCTGTTTTGGGTAAATGGCTGGATAGAAATGATGAACGAATGAAGAAGCATCTTCATAACATATCTCTTTGATTACATTGATCTTTATCTCTCTTTATGTCAGCAATCCTGGCCTTCTTGTTCTCTTCCCTATCTCTAGGGCACGATTTGTCAGCCTTGGCACTGTTAACATTTTGGACCAGATCATTCTTTCTCGAGAGGCGCTGTCCTTTGCATCCCTGGCCTCTACCCACTGGGCCGAAGTAGCAACCCCCCTCGTTCTCACAACCAAAAAGGTCTTCAGACACGGCCCAAATGTTGCCTTGGGGGCAAAACCACCTGTGACTGAGAGCCACGACTCCAGGGTAAACAGATTCTCCAAGACAGTCCCGGTCCACCCATTTTCCCAACTCTAGGGCAACCCTTTCACTCTCAAAAGGGTCATAATTTGACAGGGAGTTAAATGGTCCCCCAACACATCTCCGTAAATTGCAACCCCGTGTTTCCAGTTGCCCACGCCAAAACTGAGGACTCTCTTAGCCCCTCTCATTCCCTGATTCCTCCGGTCAACCCCCAGCAGGCCCAGTTAAATAAAACCACCTTCAGGCGCGCCTGGGGGGTCCGTCGCTTAAGAGTCTGACTCTCGATTTGGGCTCAGGTCACGATCTCGCAGTTCACGGGGTCGAGCCCACATCAGGCTCTGCACTAACAGCGTGGAACCTGCTTGGGATTCTTCTCACCTGCCCTATCTGCCCCTCCCCTGCACACACACACACTCTCTCTCTCTCTCTCTCTCTCTCTCTCTCTCTCTCTCTCAAAATAAATACACTAAAAAAAAAAAGAAAACACTTTCAAACTGTGCCACGTCTTGCCCCTCTTTCCACATCCCCGATGCCACACCAGTCCTCACCTCTCCCCTTCACGTGTGCCCCATTTCAGGCTGTTTTCAGCACAGCTGCCAAAGCTGTCATGTCTGATTAGAAGTCGGCTCGTGTCACTCCTGTGTTCAAAGTCCTTCAGTGGCTTCCCAATCCGCTCAGAGTAGAAGCCGAAGTCCGGCTGTACTGGCCTCTGCTAGTCCTTAGACACCTGGCAGGCCCGTCTCAGGGCTTTCCTCTGTCAGTTCCTTCTGCCCGATCACCTCCTGCTCCCCCAACTCTAGACGTCCCTGCCTGCCCCTCAGCTGCTCCCTTGTTTGGCAAGTTTGTATTCTAATATCGGCGTCATGGCAAAGTCTTCTCTGATCACCCTACTTAAAATCACCCCTTCCATTCATCTCCCGTGCTTGATTTTTTTCCACAGCCCTTATCATTATCTGACATAGTAAATTTTCACCCGTTTATTTACTCGCTTCCTAATCTGTCATGTGACCCTCAGAATGAGTAGGCAGACTCCATGCGGACCGAGATTTTTCTCTGTTGTATTTACTGTGCCACGCTCAGTGTCTTTAGCAGTTTTCCTGGGAAACACCTAGTAGGCAGTCATTAAATGCTGAATGAATGTGGTGCCCCTGGGTGGCTCAGTCGGCTGAGCATCCGACTTTGGCTCAGGTCATGATCTCCCAGTTCGTGGGTTCGAGCCCCGCGTCAGGCTCTGTGCTGACAGCTGGGAGCCTGGAGCCTGCTTCGGATTCTGTGCCTCCCTCCCCCTCTTCCCCGACCCCACTGGCGCTGTGTCTCTGTCTCTCAAAAAAAAATGAACACACGTTAAAAAAAAAAAAATGTAAATACTGAATGAGTGCAATAGGGAATTTATTGAATGCTTACTTTCTTCTAGGCATCGGGCTAAATACTGAGCCTACAAAGTGAGTGCAATACTGTCCCTGCCTTCAAGAAGCTTACAATCTAGTAGAGGACACAGGCATGTAAATACATAAGCACAGTTGAGAGAGATGCTTGCGATAAAGGGAGACATGCGGAGAGCTGGAATAGAGGAATTGAAGGGGTTGGTGGAGCACAAGGGGACCGCAGCGTGTTGAGGAGGAAATGCAGGGTGTGAAGAAAGAATACTTAAGATGCTCCTTCTTGCCACCCTGTCACAGTCCATTATCTGCCTGGCTGCTGCATTGCAAATATAGCGTGAATGACAAAATAAAGCCACTGCGTGTGCCCGTGGTTCCTCACCCTGGACACCTACACTTGGAGTGTGGAATTCTAACTCTTTCGCCTGGTATGTGAGACTCGGCCTAAGCTGGCTTCCTGCCCAGATTTATCTATTGCCACTCTTCTCACTGACTCGACTGGTCGGAACGGAATGTGTTCTCAACACGCTGCGGCTTTTCCTTGCTCCTGGGATGCCCTCCCCATTGCAGGGTCTCCCTGTCAGGATTCAGCCAAAATGGAACAACCTCTCTGAAGTCTTCCTCAATGTCACCTTCAGTCTGGGTGAATGAGCACACAAAAGGCCAAAGGCACCTGCATCAGGCAGCTGGGAGGAGCTCATTTCTAAACAGCTTGAACCTAGGGGCGCCTGGGTGGCTCAGTCGGTTGAGCGTCCAACTTCGGCTCAGGTCACGATCTCCCGGTTCGTGGGTTCGAGCCCCACATCGGGCTCTGTGCCGACAGCTGGGAGCCTGGAGCCTGCTTTCAGATTCTTCGTCTCCCTCTCTCTCTCTGCCCCTCCCCCGCTCACACTCTGTCTCTCTCTGCCTCTCAAAAAAAAATAAATAAATGTTTAAAAAAAAATGTAAACACAATGAACCTATTAAGAAAGTCAGAAACACGGTGCAAAAAAACAAATGCCATCAATCAAGACTGTGTTATGAACTTTGAGTCACTGCGATTTGAGATGCACATTCCTGGAACAAGCAATGACAAACCGGTCATAGGTCCGTGTAAACAAGGAGACAGCACAGGCCCAGGGCCCGGACCATGAGAGAAGAGGAAGATTAGCACATTTTCAAAGCATTTCCCTCATCTGCCGGAACTTTAATCTGGGAAAGGTTGGAATTAAATTCTGGACCATACTGTTTGTCACTCCATATTTAAACGTATATTAAAGTTAAATGCATAGTAAACTCTATAAGCCTATTTTATGTTTTGAGTTTTATGATTTATAAGTACTAATTCCTGTTACCATGATAAAGTCATGAGTTAAAAGTGCTAATTCAAATATTTTTTCAAGTTTATTTATTTATTTTGAAAGAGAGAGATGGAGCATGAGCAGGGGAGGGGCAGAGAGAGAGAGAGAGAGAGAGAGAGAGAGGAGAGAGACAGTCCCAAGCGGGCTTCGTGCTGTCAGTGCTCAATCTCACAAACCGCGAGATCATGACCTGAGCCGAAATCAAGAGTCAGACACTTCACCGACCGAGCCACCGGGGTCCCCTCAGGTTTTTTTTAAAAGCAAATGCTACAACCAAGTGGACTGGAGTGTGGTCACAGTCGAGAATCAACCAGAGTCAGACCAGTTACGTTAGCAGCATGCTTCATAGCATAATATCTCTGTAAGACCCGTTCCTCTTTGAATATTTATTCAACAATTGAATAGTTCAATATTCAGTTCAACATCCCATTGAATAATTCAATTACTGAAGGCCTAAGTGTCAGACATTTTTTTTTTTTGATCTTCTAACATTCTCAAGGGCCTACGAATTAAGTGTATTTTCTCCACTATGCATAATGAAGCTGAAGCTTAAAGAGATTTAAGGCTTTCACCAGCCAGCAAGACAAGAACTCAAGATTCAAACCCACTTTGTTCTAAAGTCAAAGCTCATTCTTAGCTACTATACACATCTGCCTCTGTGCTACACCAATGGATGATTTAATTTCGGGCATTTGTGTCTGAACTGACAATAATCTTTTGTATCAAATGTATAGAGATTTTGATGGTAGCCTATGCATCATGAGTCTCAGTTAGTCACAGAAATTATTTACTCAGTTTATAGTTGTTACATCCTAAACTCATGGAGATTAACGAAATGGCTGATAATAATGTTCGAGGCCTAATTATTAGCTTGAGCAGGTACACTTCACGCTTGGTACCTAATCACATACTGGGCCTTTGTGAAAACAGAGCAGTTAGACTAATATCAGCAACTCCTGAAGGAAGATTAAAGTAGCTGACAAGATCTTGAAAATTCCCTTGGATATTATGGATTTCATTTTAAGTGAAAAATGCAAAGCAATTACATTTCTTGTAACAGAATTCCTTATTTTATGTAATTTATGCTGAGTATTTTTATTTAAAAGTTAGCAAACTTGATTTCTTACAAACATGTAAAAAATATTAGCGCATATGGAAAAGATGGAGAGGATATTTTTTGGTCTTAGGAGAGTAGGGGAAGTGAATGATGTTTCTCCTTTAAAAGTTTTTCAATATTGTTGTTTTAGTGGTTTCTCATTTTTAAAAGAAACAACTAAGTAAAACTTACTATTTAACGCATAGAAGAATGTTGTGGACTGGATTCTATTTTACCATGTATGTGATGTTACCCAAGTCACTTAATTCTATACAGTTAGAATATATTTACTATAAAAACAACTAGATTACAAATTATCCCCATCCCTTCTACTTGCCCTATAATCCCTTGGGGGCAAATCACCTGTTGTAGGTTGAATTGTATTCCCCGAAAGATACATTCAAGTCCTAACCCCGGTGTATTTGACCTTATTTGGAAATGCGATCTTTGCCGATGCAGTCAAATTAAGACTAGGTAATACTGAATTAATATGGGCCTTAATCCAATGACTGACATCCTTCCAAAGCAAGGGACATTTGGGCGCACAGAAGACAAACAGGGAGAAGGCCAGGTGATGGCAGAAGTAGAAATGGGAATGATGTATCTACAAACCAAGGAACACCAAGGACTGTGGGTAAACCAGAAGTAAGGAAGAAGCATGGAAGCCTCCAGAGGAGCGCAGACCTGCCAACACCTTGATCTCAGACTTCTGGCTGCCAGAACTGTGAGAATAAATTTCCCTTGTCTGTTACTTCGTGTTACAACAGTCCTACCTTGGGTGATAGGTCCCCCAAACCTGCAAGGTCCACATGGATTATCTACATCAATCATGGGATGAAGCGAAGGAAGCAGTGTGGCATCTGACAACCCTGGTAATAGGAGGACCCCCAAATCATCCACAGGTTCTTGCTGACAACAGCAACCCAAACCATAAAGGATTGTACTGGATTCAGTTCATGAGTGGATGTGGAGACTGGGGTGGGATAAGGTCTAACCATGTCTAATGATACTTGAGGAATCCAACCTCCGTAAGCTCAGAAAGCCAGCACATCAACGAACCCTTCCAGGAAAGTTCTGCTTTGGACATGATGGAGTTACAGCCTCCCTGGGCATTCTTCAGATAAATGCTGAACAAAACACCAAAGTCAACAAGCCGCAGCAAGCAGATCTTGGAAGGCTTAAATTCAGATGGAGGGCTCCCCCTTGTTCCGGTCGGGCAGGAAGGGGTCTCGGGGCAAGCAGAGCTTCCTCAGAGTTAAGAGAGACCCCATAGATGATCGAGGACCCCAAAGTGGCCGTGAGAACTTGCCAAGTTTCTGGTTCACCCTGGGATCACACATGTGCAAAACGGACTGGAGTCCCTCTGAACCGAGAGCCGAGACATCACCCAACCCAGGTGTTGACAATTTGCAGTTTTAGTAGAACCATTAATTGCCTACTGAAACATAAATATCAACGACCTGGAGGAAAATGACAGAATCCACAATGTCCAGGGCCCGATGGAAAATTACTCTACATACACAGAGCCAGAAAAGATGTGATCCGTTTTAAAGGGAGAAGGCTATCAACTGATGCCAACCCCAAGAGGACCAAGGTGTCAGAATCCTCAGGCTAGAATTAAAAGCCACTATTATAACTATGCCGAATGAGGCAACAGGGATCATTCTCACAGGGAATAAAAATATAGGAAATTGACAGAAATGTAAAAGAAAAACAAACGGATGTTTAAACAAAAATTCAATATAAAAATATATTCCTATAATATAAATTCAAATATCAAATTTATTGGATAGCTTCAGTAGAAGAATGGAGATGACAGGGAAAATGATCAGTGAACCCGAAAGAGATAGATGATAGATGGATGGATAGATAGATAGATAGATAGATAGATGATAGATAGATCTCTTTCTGATAAAAGTACTAAAGTGAGCTCCAGACAAGAAATAAGAGTGGAAGGACTTTAACATAATGATTGGTGGTAAGCATTAAGCATATACTTAATTTGAAGTATTAAGAATCAATAACAATTATCAGGGATTATGTGTTGTAGTACAAATATAGTACAATTATTTTTAATGATGAAGAATCGGGACTTTATGTAAAAAGTAGACTAAGCTTGCTGATTTTCTTAGTGGTCTCAGGACTAAACAAACCTAAAATCAGATGTGGGGCAGCTGAGGAGAAAAAAGAAAAGGTAAATGAGAGTGTTGAGTATTCAATATTGCTTATAGGTAGGAAACCATAATACATTATGACCAAGTGCAGGTTATCTCAGAAACGCAAGAGTGGCTCAGTATTAGAAAATCCAAAATCAGGGGCGCCTGGGTGGTGCAGTCGGTTAAGCGTCCGACTTCAGCCAGGTCACGATCTCGCGGTCTGGGAGTTCGAGCCCCGCGTCAGGCTCTGGACTGATGGCTCGGAGCCTGGAGCCTGTTTCCGATTCTGTGTCTCCCTCTCTCTCTGCCCCTCCCCCGTTCATGCTCTGTCTCTCTCTGTCCCAAGAATAAATAAACGTTGGGGGAAAAAAAAAAGAAAATCCAAAATTTATCACCTGTATAAGGCTAGAAAGGAAAATGATATAATCATCTCTGTAGATGTAAAGAAGACATTTGACCAATTTTATACCCGTTCTTTCTAAAATACTCAAGTATTGATATATGGATACTTCCTGAATATGAACTATACACACACACACACACACACACACACACAATATCAGCATTTTCCTTACTTAGTGGGGAATTAGAGGCTTTTCCTGAAAAATTCAGAAACAATATAATGATGCTTGCAATCTCCATTCCTATTTCATATTGTGTTGGAAGTATTAGTCAATACAATTAGATACAGAGTTAGCACTCAAGACACATAGATTAAAATGCAAAAAGCAAAAAGTAGGGGTGCCTGGCTGGCTCAGTCTATAGAGCGTGTGACTCTTGATCTGGGGGTTGTGAGTTCAGGCCTCACGTTGGGTGTGGAGATTACGTAAAAAATAAAACTAAAGAGCAAGAACTATAAAGACCTGTGCTGTCCAGTATGGTAGCCAACAGTGACATGTGATTATTTACATTTAAAATAAGTATTGTTGGGGGATCTGGGTGGCTCAGTCGGTTGAGCATCGAACTGAGCTCAGTTCATGATCTCACGATTTGTGAGTTCAAGCTCCTGCATCTGGCTCCCTGCTGTCAGTGCAGAGCCCACTTCGGATCCTCTGGCCCCCTCTGCCCCTCCCCCACTCACACCCTTTCTCAAAAATAAAACATGTTTTTAAAAAGTAAGTATTGTTAGGGGCGTCTGGGTGGCTCAGTCGGTTAAGCGGCCGACTTCGGCTCAGGTCACGATCTCGCAGTCCGTGAG